CGAGGGTGGCGGGCGTGGTCGTTGCTGGGGCCGCCGGAGGGGTGATGCTGGTCACGCCTTGGGGTGCGTGGTCGTGGCGGTGGCGCGCTCCGGCCGGATTTGACGCAGGGTGTCCGGCGGGCGGCACGGGTTGGGCCAGTGGCTCGGCGTGGTTGCTGCTCCGGCTGTGGGCTGCGGCGGCGAGGTGGCTCTGTCCTTTGGGCGTGGAGGCTTCCATTCACTGAGCTGGCATCACGACAACTTGGCGGGTCGGCTGCAGCGGCGGCTGGCTTTCCGGCGTGATGGCTTGGATCTCGGTGCGGAGGACCGAGCTTGTCTCGCGCCCAGCAGCAGGACCGAGCTCATCTCGCGCATGGTGCCACAGGACTGGTCGATGGACGCCAGATTTGGCCGGCCTATTGGGTCTCGGTGCTGGGGCCTCCCAGGGGCGCGAAAAGCTGGTCCTTTCTGCTTGTATCCTTGGTTTGGGTAGCGGCGGGGCTCAGGTGAGGTGGTGTCAAGGTCTTGGATGTCGGGGCGGCGGCCCTGGTGGTGGGAGCGCCGTGCTCATGGGCAGAGCCTGTGGCTCGGTGCTGCTTGGTGGCCATGGTCGTGTGGGTGGCGTGGTTGCCGGGGTGTGGCGTTCGGTGAAAACCTGTTTTATCCTCGGACGGACCGGCAGCGGCGTAGGTTGTTCCCTTATTGAAGGCGTCGTCGCGACCTTCATTGCCCGTCGTGTCGTGTTGCTCCAGGGGAAACTCTGATCCTCGGGTCGGGCGGTGGCGGCACTCCGGTGTTGTAACCTTCCTGAAGGCGCTGGCTTGGAGCCTACAGTTCGTCATATGCGGCTTCATCTCTTTGCGATGGCGTCTCCACGGTTGTGGACCCCGGTGGCTCCTGTAGTGTTTGGGGGTGGTGTTGTTGTGCTCAGCGCCAGTGGCGGAGCTAGACAGAATTGGCTGGGGGGGTGAATGGTAAAATATGAGTGTTTGGGGGGGCCAAAAACTAAAATATTTCTCATCTAAACCCTCACACTAATATTTTCTTCACAAGTTGCTTCAATATTGGGGGGGCCACAGCCCCCCCAGGAGGCTACATAGCTCCGCCGTTGCTCAGCGCCTATGTATCGTGTCTTGGGTGTGTGCATGTGTTATGGTGGCGTGCGTTTGTATCGGGTTATGGATGATCGTTGCTTTATATACAAAGCAGGGTGAAAGCCTTTTTGGTAATCTGTTAGTTTCGTTCTAGGAAGTGTAGTTTAGCATGGGGGATGCTTAATAAGATCATGATAAGAACAATGTGCTTCTGCAATTTAGAAAGGGCACTACTAGGCGCCGGCAGGCCGGCCCAACCTTTCAGTGTGCTTCTGCAATTTAGAAAGGGCACTACTAGGTGCCGGCAGGCTGGCCCAACCTTTTAGCCGGTTGGCTGCTAGCCACCCGATCTAAAAGCCGCAAACCATCAGATCTTGTCTTTTTTTTCTTTTTCCTTTGGTCCTTTCGCCTCGCATGCACAGAAAAGAAAAACACAACAAACGCCATCGAACCTTGCCCGCGCGACCTCGAAGCCCCGCCGGCTCCCCGCCGCTTGATACTCGCCGTCGCCATCGGGGTCGCCGATCGTCGGTTGCAACCAAAAATAGCAACGCCAGTTTGAAAAGCAAAACACATGGTTCCAGCAAATAATTGATATGGTTCCAACAAACAATAATGTGTTTCCAGCAAAAATGATGTGTTTCCAGCAAAAGACATTGATTTGGTTCCAGCAAAAAACATGCATGGTTTCATCAAAAAACTCATAGTTCCAGCAAAATTGAAGAAGGGGTTTCCAGCAAAAAAATCAATGCAGCAAAAAAAAAAAAAAGTCATGGCGTCGCCGCCCCAACACCATCCTCACCGGTTGCAGCAGGTCAAAAAGCTGGTTCCAGCAAAAATCCCGTGCTGCAAAAAACATGGCACCCCTGCCATCATGGCCGCCCAGCACTATCCTCTCCTGTTGCAGCAAATCGAGAAACTGATTGCAGCAAAAATCGAAAGTATCTCCAGCAAAAATCGAAAAAGGCAGAAACTTACCGCAGCCCACCACCGTCGCCGCCCACCATCATCCTCGCCGGTTGAAGCAAATTTCCATGCCGGTTCCAGTAGCGCATCTCATCGGTCGCAACGCGTTACCTCGGACATCGCCGCCGGTCCGAGGATGCAACAGTCTCTGCCGCAGGCTGGCAGCTCCACGGCCTCGCATCCATGGGCACGGCTCACCGCGGTAGCAGGCGCAGCTCGGCGCGGTGGCGTTTGGTGGAGCAGCCATGGCAGGGATAGAAGAAACTGAAGGTGGTGTGGCCATGGCCGGCCGACATCGTGTCGCAGGTGGCAAAGGATCTTGTCGGCGGCGCGCGAGATGAGGTGGAGCTGAGCTGTAGAGCAGAGGAGATGGGAGCGTAATGAGACGAGATTAAGTGGATGTGGTCGTTTGAGCTTCTGAGAAGATAAGGTGAAGGGAGGGCGGTGGACAGGCCCCACTTGAGATGCATACACGTGACGCCTTTGCGCGACTAGCACAACTTTCAGCCGGTCCGCTGGGTACAAGCGTTTACCATTTAGAAATGCTGCAATCAACTCTTCAGATTGTATAAATGTTGTACATAAGGATTTGTGAAGTGATAATTCCCAGTTTGCGAACTTGCAGAGATAAGAACTTTGCAGCAGTGCTATAATTCAACAAATATGAATAAACACTCATTTCTTCTAGTACGAGTGATGTATGCTGGTTTTGTGCTGCATTGTACATGTAGAGTTAAGACAAAAAATTAATGATAAAGAGGTCACAATAGAGAATACTGCCCCATTTGGTGTCTCTTTTATCAAGTTCTTGATTGATCCTCATCCCCCCATGTCATTGCAATTTGCATCTTGCAAAACACATCAAACAGTAAAGAAGACATAATCAGAAGAGAATACGAAAACATGAAAACAGTAAAGAAGTTTGCTTACCCAATTTGCAATGCTATTTGTCTCCCAATTTTAGTATGGTTTAGCAATTTCAATTCTCAAACTCCCAACATGACACAATATTACAAATACAAACCATGACAAATTGACAACATCACATAGCCCACTAAGATCATGATAAATAGGAGCTAACAACACTCAGATGGCCACATAGTCAAACAGTTCAAATGGCAAATAGGCAGTTCAGAAGTACATTACATAACATCTATAGAAACATAAATTAAATAGGCTGATGGTCTCATGGCTGAAGCCTAAAGGAGTGAATGATTGAAGGTCAAGATTCAAGTGAGAGAATCAATTATTTCCTTTTCCAATTCTAGTTCATCAAGTGAAAGATCTGCACCTTCAAGCATGCCAACATAAATTAAATAGGCTGATGGTCTCATGGTTGAAGCCTAAAGGAGTGAATGACTGAAGGTCAAGACTCAAGTGAGAGAATCAATTATTTCCCCTTCCAATTGTAGTTCATCAAGTGAAAGATCTGCACCTTCAAGCATGCCAACACGAGCAAAAGTCACAACTCCATCTCCCCCAATGTCCCACATTCGACTTGGCCCAGTTTGATATTTTCGAGAATTCCTTGAAAGCAGGTGGTGGTTGTTGTGTGTAAACACCAAATCATTACCTCGGGCAGGAGCTAGCTTGTTTCTTCCAGCGCTATGGATGAAACCATCTGTGGTCCAATTCCTCTCACAACAAGAGGAAGACGCGGGCTGCTGAAGTACTTTACAACAACAACAATAAAGCCTTTAGTCCCAAATAAGTTGGGGGTAGGCTAGAGGTGAAATCATAAGTTCTCGCGACTAACTCATGATTCTGGCACATGGATAGCAAGCTTCCACGCACTCCTGTCTATGGCTAGTTCTTTGGTGATACTCCAGTACTTCAGGTCTCTCTTTACAGACTACTCCCATGTCAGGTTCGGTCTACCGTGACCTCTCTTGACATTATCAGCATGTTTTAACCATTCGCTATGCACTACAGCTTCTGGAGGAACGCGTTGAATATGCTCAAACCATCTCAGACGATGTTGGACAAAGGTTCTCTTCAATCAGTGCTACCCGAACTCTATCTTGTATATCATCATTTCGGACTCAGTCCTTCGTTGTGTGGCAACACATCCATCTCAACATGCGCATCTCCGCCACACCTAACTGTTGAACATGTTGCCTTTTAGTTGCCCAACACTCGGCGCCATACAACATTGCGGGTCGAATCGCTGTCCTATAGAACTTGTCTTTTAGCTTTTGCGGCAATCTCTTGTCACAGAGAATGCCAGAAGCTTGGTGCCACTTCATCCAATCGACTTTGATTCGATGGTTCACATCTTCATCGATATCCCTGTCCTTCTGCAACATAGACCCAAAATATCGAAAGGCGTCCTTCTCAGGCACCACCTGCCCATTAAGGCTAATCTCCTCCTTGTACCCAGTAGTACCGAAATCACACTCATGTACTCGGTTTAGTTCTACAAAGTCTAAAACCTTTCGATTCCAAGGCTTGTCTCCATAACTCTTAACTTCCTATTGACCCCCATTCGACTATCATCGACTAGCACCACATCATCCACAAAGAGCATACACCATGGGATATCTCCTTGTATATCCCTTTTGACCTCGTCCATCACCAGAACAATAAAATAAAATAAGGGCTCAAAGTTGACCCTGGTGCAGTCCTATTTTAATTGGGAAGTCATCAGTGTCACCATCACTTGTTCGAACAATTGTCACAACATTGTCGTACATCTCCTTGATGAGTGTAATGTACTTTGCTGGAACTTTGTGTTTCTCTAAGGCCCACTGACATTCTGCGGTATCTTATCATAGGCCTTCTCCAAGTCAATCAACACCATATGCAGGTCCTTCTTTTGCACCCTGTATCTCTCCATAAGTTGTACCAAGAAAATGGCTTCAATGCTCGACCTCCTAGGCATGAAACCAAAGTGATTTTTCATCACGCTTGTCATTCTTCTTAAGCGGTGCTCAATGACTCTCTCCCATAGCTTTATTGTATGGCTCATCAACTTAATTCCGTGACAATTAGTACAACTCTAAACATCACGACAATTAGTACAACTCTAAACATCCCCCTTGTTCTTGAAGATTGGTACTAATATACTCCGTCTCTATTCTGCCGGCATCTATTTGCCCGAAAAATGAGGTTGGAAAGCTTGGTTAGCCATACTATCGCTATGTCCCCGAGGCCTCTCCACATCTCAATGGGGGACACAATCAGGGCCCATTGTCTTGCCTCTTTTCATCCTTTTTAAATCCTCCTTGACCTCGGACTCCTGAATTCGCCGCTCAAAACGCCTGCTGGTGTCATCAAAGGAGTCGTCAATTCAATGGTAGAGCTCTCATTCTCCCCATCGAATAACTTGTTGAAATACTCCCGTTGTTTATGCTTAATCTCCTTGTCCTTCACCAGGAGCTGGTCTGCTCCATCCATCCTTGATGCATTTGACTTGGTCAACATCCCTTGTCTTCCTCTCTCGGATCTTGGCCATCTTAGATGTCCCTTTCGCGGTTTCGCCTTTCGTCGTGTCTAACCACTCGTAGAGGTCCTCATACGCCCGACCCCTTGCTCCACTCACAGCTCGCTTTGCGGCCTTCTTTGCCATCCTGTACTTCTCCATGTTGTCTGCGCTCCTATCCAGGTAAAAGCGTCTGAAACAATCTTTCTTCTCCTTAACAGCCTTTTGGACATCATCATTCCACCACAAGGTATCTTTAGCTTCGCTTCTGCGAATGCAAGTCGCCATCTTCATGCACATATTGTTCGCATCACCTCCTTTCCTCCCAAGGGCCCTCCTTAATGACCCTCTCCTTGAACGCCCGAGCTACCTCCTCCTTGAGCTTCCACCACTTGCGACTTTTGGCACGCTTATCCCGCTAGACATGAATTCGAAAGCGGAAGTCAGCAAGCGCAATTTATGCTGAGGGATAACACTCTCTCCAGGTATCACCTTACAACCTAGGCACGCACGCCTGTCTTCTTCTCGAGAGGATGAAATCAATCTGGCTATTGTGTTGACCAATGCTAGAAGTTACTAGATGTGATTCTCTCTTTTAAAAAGGGTGTGAGCTACGGTCATTCGTAGGCTAAAGCAAAGATAGGACATTTTCTCCTCCTTGATTCCTGATACCATAGCCAAAGCCCCCATTCACCCCTTCAAAACCTGTGTTAGATGTACCCACATGGCAATTGAGGTCTCCTCTTATGAAGAGCTTCTCGCCGATTAGTACACTCCTAACCATGTCCTCCAGGCCTTCCTAGAACTCCCTCTTGGTGTTCTCGTTGTGGCCTACTTGCGGGGCATATGCGCTGATAACATTGAGAACAAGTCCCAACTACCAGCTTGACCAGGATAATCCGGTCCCCACGTCTCACGTCTACCACTCCATACTTGAGGCTCTTGTTGACTAAGATGCCTATTTCATTTCTGTTTGCAGCTGACCTCGTGTACCATAGCTTGAAGCCGGTATCCTCCACCTCCTTCGCCTTCTGCCCCCTCCATTTGGTTTCTTGGAAGCAAAGGATATCAACACCTCTCCTCACCGTTGTATCAACTAGCTCCCGAAGCTTATCTGTCAGGGACCCTACGTTCCAGCTACCTAAGTGGATCCTCCTAGGCTCGGCTAACTTCCTTACTTCGCACTCATCGAGTCAAATGCGAAGACCCTTGCTCATTTTCCACCACGACGGGGTTCCGATGTGGCGCGCCGCTGAGAGGGTTATGCCCCAACGAAAATCTTTTGGGTTTCATCTCCATATGAGTGGCTGAGTTTTGATGTTGGCTCGCCAAGCCTATCACAACCCTCCTCCTTTACCCGGGCTTGGGACCGGCTATGTTGAGACAACATAGGCTGAGTTGGTTGCTCAAGTACTTTCAATGCTAAATCCCCATCATTGCTTAGGTTCAAAATCAGCTCTATCTTCAACAGAATCTGGATTTTCAAAGGCATTCATGAAAAGAGCAAAATCAGCAAATTCTTGATAGTTTCGAGGTCATCTTGTTCTGGATAAAACTTTCGAGAGCATTTGTTTCCCATTTCTATAACTTCATGGTCATCATTGGGGCTGATAAAAATCAGCAAGCATGTTCAAGTCTGAGCATTGTAGGTGAAAAACATTCTAGCAATATGAGCATCAGCTTGTTGTCGGATCTCAGCATTAAAACTCTCTCCAATAGCTGTTTGCTTTCATTTTCTTGTTGGAGCAGAACCAGCAAAGTGAGGTAGAGGAATTGTATGCCTAGTTGCACCATGTTCAATGAGTTGTTGGGCTGCTCTGTCTTCCTTGCAAAGTTGCTCAAAGGCAGGGTGTGGAATTTTGTCACAGGTTGCTACATCTTTGTTATCTGAAGAAGATGAGGCCTCACTCCAAGCAGCCAAGCAGCAAAGCATCCAGACATTCATCATTCAAGATTCAACAGCAGCACAAGTATTCGACTATTCGAATGAGCAGCAGCAGGCCAGCAGCACAAGCATTCAAAGAGCAGCACAACATGGGTAGCAAACAGCAGCAGCACAAGCATTCAAAGAGCAGCAAGCAGCATCCAACAGCTTAATGGAAGAAATCAGAATAAAAGAGATGAAGAAGCCGCGGAGAGTCTGCTGGGTTTGGGGACTTCGCGATTGGGGTTACCTGCGAGGAGAGGCTAATGCTGCTGGGGGCAGCGGCCGCCGGTCGAGTCCAGGCGTCGCCGGCGGCAGCGGCGGCTTCGGTCCAGGAGGCGGCGGCATGTTCACTGCTGCCTAGGAGTCTGGGAGCATCTCGTTCTTATGTGGAGAGCGTGCGTGCGACCCTGCAAGATCGGGTGTATTGGACTGAGGCTGTTTTTGGGCCAGGCCGTGTCCCAAATGTGTCACTTACGTATCCCGCTGTATCCCTGCTTTTTTCTTTCTATTTTTGAAAACAAAAATCAGGGGATACTGCTGGATTGACATATCCCGCCGTGCCCCCGTATCCTGCCGTATCAGGACAGCAAACTGGCATTTTCTGGCGTGTCCGTGCTTTTTAGATGCTAACTAGGAGAGCCTCTAGTCCTCTCCCTTCGTCTTCATTTCTTCGTCCTCACCCCATTTGTTTTTGGAAGTAATATCATATTGTCTTCCATGCGTTGGACTTTCAGTTTGTTATATTGTGAAACCGCATGATGTAATGATGAGTATCACTAAAGTATTCTGTATTCACAGATCCGTCTTTTTGGAGGTCAAGTAACTTCATGGAAGAATGACCATGGCGAGGAGTTGCTTTTTGTCAGCAGCAAGGTAGATAATCCTGTCTTTGGCCATGTGTATCATGGGTCAATTGTTGTATGGGTACATGGGTGCATGTTTTAGATGAGAACATGCTCAGTTTGTTTGGAGGTCGTCCTTGCTCCTCTGAATTATTTTGTTGAACATTCTTGCTATGTCCCTACCACTTCCTGATGCAGTATGATTCTAATTTTTGCATAATAGATCCGCCTCATCTCTGCATTTTTAACTTTTTTTTCATGATTGCTTCTGATTTTACCATTGGGTTTCAATCAGACAATTCTAGTTCTTTTTAGCTCAAGTGCTAATCGTGATATATATTGCGCTACAATGCTTGTCATATATGTACTTATACATCCAGGCCAGGTTAATGCCTCAGTTTCTGAAAGTAAAATTTTCTTTTGCAGGCCATCAAGCCTCCAAAACCGTTTCGTGGCGGGATACCTATTTGCTTTCCCCAGGTATGCAACCTTCATCCATGATGACCTGGTCATGTTAAAATTATTTTCTGCCTATCACTGAGAACTACCATGTTGATGCAGTTTGGAACTCAGGGAAATCTTGAGCAACATGGATTTGCAAGAAATCGGCTTTGGGCTATTGATGATAATCCACCCCCTTTACCAGTAAATCCTGCAATTAAAGCTTTTGTTGATCTTATTCTGAAGCCTAGTGAAGATGATTTAAAGATGTGGCCACACAGGTTTGTGCTAGATGCTTAAACCATGTATAGGCACAATTATCTCTTTTATGCATGTGATGTATACATTACATTTCTGACTCTGCTCTTGGCTTATTCAACATTAACAGTTTCGAGTTTCGCTTGAGAATTGCTCTTGGTGCTGGTGGAGATTTGAGTCTCACGTCTCGAATCAGGAATACCAACACTGATGGAAGACCTTTTTCTTATACATTTGCATATCACACATACTTCTCTGTTTCTGACATAAGGTATGGTCGCTTAACAGTTTCGAGTTTCGCTTGAGAATTGCTCTTGGTGCTGGTGGAGATTTGAGTCTCACGTCTCGAATCAGGAATACCAACACTGATGGAAGACCTTTTTCTTATACATTTGCATATCACACATACTTCTCTGTTTCTGACATAAGGTATGGTCGCTTATGTTTTTTCGCTTTGTTGTCTGCATTATTTTTTTAATGAAATTTTAACCTCTGCAATGGATTGCTCCATTTTTTGACATCTTGTTGGAAATTCAGAATTTGTTTTTGTACAATTGTGCACTGCTTTAATAGTCATGTGCATGTATGCAACTATATTCACTCGGTCAGTCTTGGTTTATGCCGTATAAATTTGGGATGTAGTACTAGTCCCTTCGTCTGGGTTTATTGGGCCAGCTAGCAAGCTAGCTCTGTGTGCGCTTGAAAGGCTGCTGACATGCGTGTTCTTTCTTTCCTCGGTTCCCCTTTGCTGGATGTGTGCTCAGTGTTCTCTCTTTCCTTGGTTCCCCTTTGCTGGATGTGTGCTCAGCTGTAAGATGCTTGTTGGTAAAATTGCCAAGTAAGCATCTTCGATGATGTGTCAAGTAATGAATGAAGAGAGAGTGTGAGGTTGAATGAAAATGAACCAACACCGTGTGCACAAGCTCCAAGGTAAAGAAAGAGAGCAAGCTTCCATATTCTCTCACCTCCTATTGGTCAACCTTACATACTCCCTTCGTCTTTGAATACAAGGCCACTTCATATTTTTGTTCTAATTTTGTCCATTAATTTTACCAATAAAATGAGAGTTATATGCCACAAAAAGTATGCCGTTGGCTGCACATCGTAGTGGACTTTCTGATGATGCGTATAGATTTTTTGAAAAGTCAAGCTTTACAAACTTTAACGTGGAGAAAAACTTACACATCTAGGATACCAAATACATGTCATTAGATACACCACAAGATGTATTTTCATATTGTATATATTTAGTATTCTAGATGCAAATAATTTTCTTTATAAACTTGGTCAAAGTTTGTAAAGTTTGACTTACCAGAATATCTATGTTCACTACATTATGGAATGGAGGGAGTATTTTTTATGACATATAACTCATATTTTATTGACCAAAATTATGAGTCAAAAGTTTGACACAACAAACGAAGTGGCCTTGTTCTCAAAGACGAAGGGAGTACAACCATTGGAGTACTTGTATGATACATTGTTGGTTGATGACATGGCTATATTGACCAACAAACTAACCAACAAGTTATTGGAGATGCTCTTAAAAAACAACAACAACAACAAAGCCTTTAGTCCCAAACAAGTTAGGGTGAAACCCATAAGATCTCGCGACCAACTCATGGCTCTGGCACACTTCCACGCACCCTGTCCATAGCTAGTTCTTTGGTGATACTCCAATCCTTCAGGTCTCTCTTAACGGACTCCTCCTATGTCAAATTCGGTATACCTCGACCGCTCTTGGCATTCTCCGCACGCTTTAGCCGTCCGCTATTGCACTGGAGCTTCTGGAGGCCTGCGCTGAATATGCTCAAACCATCTCAGACGATGTTGGACAAGCTTCTCTTCAATTGGTGCTACCCCAACTCTATCTCGTATATCGTCATTCCGGACTCGATCCTTCCTTGTGTGGCCACACATCCATCTCAACATACACATCTCCGCCACACCTAATTGTTGAACATGTCGCCTTTTAGGCGGCCAACACTCAGCGCCATACAACATTGCGGGTCGAACCGCCGTCCTATAGAACTTGCCTTTTAGCTTTTGTGGCACTCTTGTCACAGAGAATGCCAGTTCAATACCCCCATCCTCCTACAGCATTGACCCCAAATATGGAAAGGTGTCCTTCTGAGGCACCACCTGCCCATCAAGGCTAACTTCCTCCTCACACCTAGTAGTACTGAAACCGCACATCATGTACTCCGTTTTAGTTCTACTAAGCCTAAACCCTTTCGATTCCAAGGTTTGTCTCCATAACTCTAACTTCCTATTTACCCCCGTCCGACTATCGTCAACTAGCACAACATCATCCGCAAAGAGCATACACCATGGGATATCTCCTTGTATATCCCTTGTGACCTCATCCATCACCAAGGCAAAAAGATAAGGGCTCAAAGCTGACCCTGATGCAATCCTATCTTAATCGGGAAGTCATCAGTGTCGACATCACTTGTTCGAACACTTGTCACAACATTATCATACATGTCCTTGATGAGGGTAATGTACTTTGCTGGGACTTTGTGTTTCTCCAAGGCCCACCACATGACATTCCGCGGTATCTTATCATATGCCTTCTCCAAGTCAATGAACACCATATGCAAGTCCATCTTTTGCTCCCTGTATCTCTCCATAAGTTGTCACACCAAGAAAATGGCTTCCATGGTCGACCTCCCAGGCATGAAGCCAAACCGATTTTTGGTCTTGTCATTCTTCTTATGCGGTGCTCAATGACTCTCTCCATAGCTTCATTGTAGGGCTCGTTAGCTTAATTCCACGGTAATTAGTACAACTCTGGACATCCCCCTTGTTCTTGAAGATCGGTACTAATATACTTCGTCTCCATTCTTCTGGCATCTTGTTTGCCCAAAAAATGAGGTTGAAAAGCTTGGTTAGCCATACTATCGCTATGTCCCCGAGGCCTTTCCACACCTCAATGGGGATACAATCAAGGCCCATCGCCTTGCCTCCTTTCATCCTTTTTAAAGCCTCCTTGACCTCAGACTCCTGGATTTGCCGCACAAAACGCATGCTAGTCTCATCAAAGGAGTTGTCCAATTCAATGGTAGAACTCTCATTCTCCCCATTGAACAGCGTGTCGAAGTACTCCCGCTATCTATGCTTAATCTCCTCGTCCTTCACCAGGAGTTGGTCTGCTCCGTCCTTGATGCATTTGACTTGGCCAATATCCGTCGTCTTCCTCTCTCGGATCTTGGCCATCTTATAGATGTCCCTTTCGCCTTCCTTCGTGCCTAACCGTTGGTAGAGGTCCTCATACGCCCGACCCCTTGCTTCACTGACAGCTCGCTTTGCGGCCTTCTTTGCCATCTTGTACTTCTCTATGTTGTCTAGAGCAAGTAAAATAAGGTATTGCTGGTGGTGTGCGTCGGCTGTGCATGGCGTGCCCAAGTGGCGTCGCGACCTGTGATGGATGCAAGAGGCTGCTCAAGCGGCTGCCCTGGCGGATCCCCCACTAGGATTTGATGCCCCTGACCCTGAGGTTGGCTGCCCAACGGCGGCTTGGTCGTGGCTGTGGAGCTTAGCGGTGCCTGTTGGCCTCGACCGCTATGCGAGGTGCCAGGGATGCCGTTGAAGTGTCAACTCAAGACATCATGGATCAAGGATACCCTGTATTTTTGTGTTCGACTAGGGCCCAAAATGCTCTGTTTCCTTCGGAAAAGATCACAAAAGACAGGAAGGATTTTTATACAGGTTCAATCCGCCATTGATAGTGTAAAATCCTACCTCTTGTTCTTCATTGATATGAAAATGAGAGGGATTACAAGTGTTGTTGTGTTACAAAAGGGGTGCTAACTTGAGTGCTCGAGCACTCCTATCTCAATTTCTCTAAACGAGATGAACTACCTCCTTGTGTTGCGTGGGATGAGTGAAGTAGTACTAGCTGGTGTATGTATTCTTGCTTGTCTTGAAATGGCCACGGTCCTCCCCTTATATAGGGCCTGGGGGCACCACAAATAGCCGGTGGATTACGTGTGAACGGATACAAGTAGAAGTAGGCGCCTGCGCATGTGCAATTTGTCTTTGGTCTTCACAGTTGATAAGCTGACACCGCAGCTTGTCAAACACTCGAGTGCTCCTGGTAGATGCTTGGGTCCTGCTTGCCATCGTCCTGCATGATGCGACGCGAGGCACCGGTTCACTTGGTCAAATGGTTGTCTGCTCTGTTTCCCTCACCTGACCGATAAGGCCTGCACCTTATCTGACCTGAGGTTCCCGCCTGGCCTGTACACCGTGTTGTCTGCATGCATGACACGTACATCGAGTGGCCAGTGTTTGGGGCTTCGAGCACCAACCTTGTGACGTCATGGTTGACGTTTTTAGAGCTTCCGCCTTGATTAAATGTGGAATTTATCGCCCGGTAAATTAACTCAAGGATCTGTGTGCCTCTCGTGTGGCTTCTCTCCTCTCACGGTAAAAAATGTGCTGCTCCCTCCTTCGTATTGCCAGTCCATGGATTTTTTGATGGGGCCCGCGTATCTTCATGCTCGGGGTACCTCGGTTTTTGTTACGTCGATAGACGTGCCGCTTCGGCGGCGGACCGGCTGGTGGCCTCTGGCTTGGAGCGGCCGGATTTGGAGCTTTGGCTGCCGGAGGCTTGGAAGGATGTCCGGCTGGTGACTGTCTTGGAAGCGGTATGTGGTGACTCCCCGTCAGGCTGGTGGGCTGCAGTGGTGTTGGTATGGGCAGGGTCTTTGGGATGCTCTTCGGCTTGCACTGCCGGTGGCGCTTTGGCAAGATTTTGGTGGTGTGGCATGTAGCATCTGCTTGCTCCAGCTCGGTGGTGGTGAGCTAGAGACGTCCCCAGCATAGGTGCTTGGCTCTCCTGGCGAAAGCCATGCCCAACTTCAGTCTGGGCTGGTGGCGAGGCATCTCTCTCAACTTCAAATTCTTGTCTTTTGGTGAAAGCCGTGTCTAATGGTGGTGCCTGGGGTGTCGTTACTTTGTTGGAAGCATTGCCTTGGAGCCAAGTATTGTGTTGGGAGCATGGGGTCAATAGTGATGTGGTTGATCTGGAGCTGGCAGCGATCTCGTAAGTGTGGAGTCGTTGGTGGTGCATCCGCGTTGGGCTGATTGCTTGGTCGACGGTGGTGGGCAGTAGGAGCACCCTCCACATATAGGGGAGTCGGGCGAGTTATGTCAGCCAACCTCTTGGAATCGGAGTGGCATATGTTCGCTCGGACATATCGTTCCTCTTGGGTATCATGGAGCATGGTTATTGTATAGCTGGCTGCTGGCTATATGTTGTTGCAATGTCATCATACTTGCTCTAAGATATAGTGCATTGAGACTGCCCTTAGTGGCTGCATGCAATAGTGGCACACGCTAATCTAGCTGCATGCCATAACCACACGCAGCGGCTTGCGTACACGGGGTTCCGAAGGAGGCGTGCGAGAGGAACGAGGGATATTAACTGTGTACGCGAATAATACTCTTGGATTGTGCTAATTAGAAATACTCCCTCCATCCCATAATATAAGACATTTTTACAAGCTTGCCGTCGAGTTACTGCAATTGCTTGAAGTGCCAAATTCTTTATTCTTTTGCCTTTGTTTCTTATTGATAATTATAGTTGAGACAGCCACTGCAAGTATTCTCACTTCTTATAAACCCTGTAGTGAAGTACGTGTCGAAGGGCTGGAAACAATGGACTACCTTGACAACATGAAGGGAAAGGAGCGTTTCACAGAGCAAGGAGATGCTATTGTATTCGAATCAGAAGTAGGTGTACTTCATGTTAAATATCTACTACTTTTCGGTTTACAGGGCTTATCTCAAAACTTTCGTTTTACCGTTTTATAAGTCTCATTTCTATTGCTTCCCATCACACGCTCAGATATCAAGGTGCATTAAATCACTGCATGTGAGGATTAGAAGAAAAATCACCCATGCATGTAGAAGTTCTTAGTTATTTATTGGTCATGCATGCATGCATTGCAATTAATGCATTGGTAAACACAATTATTTGAGGGAAACGAGCGCATTACTTGAGTACTTTTGCAAACTACTACCTCTCTCTCAGTTTACAGGGCATGCGCGTACCCCTAGGTCGTCAATTTGACCAACCTAATACAAGTCATATATTACAAAAAATATACCAACATAAACTTCGGAGTTTCTACTTTCAAAAAGTATAATTTTTGTGTTATATAGTTTATATTAGGGTGATAAAATTGGCAACCTAGGTATACGCGTAGGACTTGTAAACTGAAACGGAGGTAGTACCAAAATTATTCCACACTCATCATCTATCTTGGTTGGTGAGATTTTTGAGTTGAGGCCTATAAACCGGAAAGGAGAGAGTAACTATCAATGTAAATACTACCTCTCTCTCAGTTTACAGGGCGTGCGCGTACCCCTAGGTCGTCAATTTGACCAACCTAATACAAGTCATATATTACAAAAAATATACCAACATAAACTTCGGAGTTTCTACTTTCAAAAGGTATAATTTTTGTGTTATATAGTTTATATTAGGGTGATAAAATTGGCAACCTAGGTATACGCGTAGTACCAAAATTATTCCACACTCATCATCTATCTTGGTTGGTGAGATTTTTGAGTTGAGCCCTATAAACCGGAAAGGAGAGAGTAACTATCAATGTAAATACTTGATATCTCATGCTTCCTACCAGTAATTGATTTGTCATAAAGGTTGATAAGGTATATCTTGCTGCACCCTCGAAAGTTGCAATTATTGATCATGACATGAGAAGAACATTCGTCGTGACAAAAGAAGGACTTCCAGATGCTGGTAAGCTTGATTTAATGGAAAACCTTTTTATGTTGAATTTAATGAAATCTATTGCTGCAAATTACTTTCATCTTCATCATTACCTGTTGTTCTCTAGTTGTTTGGAACCCTTGGGATAAGAAGGCAAAAGCTATGCAAGATTTTGGGGATTTAGAATACAAGCACATGCTTTGTGTGGAGCCTGCAGCCGTTGAGAAGCCAATTACCCTCAAGCCTGGTGAAGAGTGGAAAGGAAGGCTTGGGCTCTCCGCTGTTCCTTCCAGCTACTGTAGTGGGCAGTTAGATCCATTAAAGGTCCTTCATGGTTGAGTTCTCACTTCTTCCTCATGTACAGGTTATGTTTTACTCTAGCTAAGCTGTGTTCTGGTTTCAATGTATCACTTATTGGATTATGTTCTGGTACTTACATACCACGGCAACAACAAGTCTCTCGGAGTATTATGGTTATGAATATACCTGGTATGTGATTAGCAGCTGACTAGAAGATGAACTGTCTTTTCTTTGTCATTCTTCCATACACCACCTTTGACAGATAGTGATTCTCACATGCCTCCATACACCACCTATGAAACTTGTGTACCTATCCTCTCGTTCTAACTCACGAAATATTTGGCCTCTGCAGAAGCACTTCATTGCCCTTACCTATTTGATGCTGGGCTGACTCGGACATTGCCTTGACCTTTCTTCCTTTTCATCATCCGCTATCTTTTGCCCTTTTTGTATCTACAAGTGAGTAGTAGGGCAGTTCTAAAATAACAGACCACGTCAGTTGTTTTTAGCCCAGAGCAGCTCAACTCGTCCGTAATCAAATCCATCAGTCTAAAGTATCGTTTCGTGTGGTTCAGTGGCCATACTGAGGAATGTTACCATGTGGTGCAGTTGTAGCATTTTATGTTAAAGTAGCATTTTCTACCCGCAAAAATAAATAAATTATGTAGCTATGTCATTTTTTTTAGAACCGCCCTCAAGGTATTTTATTCATTTTGGTGGACTAAGTCTGGTTGTACAATGTCAAGCAGAAAATCAGGAATTACAGGACAAACAATAGAACTAGTGTGGAACGCCAAAGACTCTTTGGCACAAGTATGGGCAGCAACGTTTGCATCAGACCAATCCAACGAATCTCAAATCCCTGCAAGTTTGGAAGGTAGGTGCGCTTCTCCCTGAAGATACTCCCCCCCCACCGAGCGATCATGTTGGTGCCATGCATCATAGATTGCCTGGCAGTCAGTTTTCAGCACGACTCTGATATGGCCCTTGCTCATCGGTAGGAGCATTTTTTTTTTTTGAGAATACGCTAAAAGCGATATTTTTATAGAAGATAGAGAATCAATGTACAAGAGAGGCACGAGCTAGATGCGTACATCCACACTCGGCCACCACCCATTACAACCCACACAAACTAACAAACTACTCTTAAGGCTACTCTCTCACAAAATGTAGTAAACCATTAAACACGCGTGCGTTCTGTTGCTTCCAGAGCTCCCAAGCAACTAAGATGACTAAGGTATTGAAACCTCTCTTCAAGCCCCTAGCCAAACTCCCCTGGTCTCAATCCACTAATCCAAGTCTAATGCATTGAAGCAAGTGTGCCACATGTAGCAAGCCGAGGGGTGATCTTGTAGGCCATGCTTGGCCTGACGGTCCGAAGTCCAGATATGGTGCTGGACCGCCAACTAAGCAAAGATATTGCACTTGAGAAGTGCCCAACTCTTCCAGATGCAAGATGCATATGGGGCCTTGACATCACCGAGGCACAACCGTTGATATGTCGAACTAGCCGAGTACACACTAGAAGAGTTGGCCGACCAAGAGAATGTATCCGACACACTGGTATCTCGCTAAATGGTGCTAATGGCCAGATTGAGGTGCACTAGCTGTAGATGACCCACAACAGTGAGCTCCCCCACAACATCCTATAACCATCTTCTGTTGTCCAACCCTCCTTGACCGTGCGTCTATTTCTAGTGCGCTTATCTACCTGAGCGTGAATCATCGGCGCTATGTCAGCCGCTGCAAACCCATGGATCCAATGTTCCCTCCAGAATAAGTCCTTAGTGCCCACCCCTACCTCGATCTTGACCATACTGTCAAAAACCGCCCGGGCATCGTTATCATTGAT